AGGTCAGGAAAACAGACCTTATGATGACAGGCTGAGAGCAATAGGGCTCTTTAGCCCAGAAAAGCACAGGCTCAGGGGTGCCCTGATGGCCACCTATAAGTTTACCCGTGATGACCACCAGTACCTGGGGGAACATTTGTTCACTAGAGCGCCCCAACAGATGACAAGGTTAAATGGTTATAAACTACTGCAACACCATTTCAGGCTGGACATAAGGATTTTTTTACTGTCTGAGCCCCCAAGGTCTGGAATAGCCTGCCATCAGAGGTGGTTCAAGCACCTACATTGAACACCTTCAAGAGTAAATTGGATGCTTATCTTGCTGAGATCCTATGAACCCAGCTGACTTCCTGCCCTTCGGGCGGGCGGCTGGACTTGATCTTCTGAGGTCCCTTCCAGCCCTAATGTCTATGAAATCTATGAAAAAACGGGGTTGGACAAATTCATGGAGGGAAAGGTGCATCAGGTAGCTCTCGAGCATGGGAGTTGCGGATACAGCCCCTGACTCGATCTTAAATGCTGAAGGCTGCAAGTAAGAGAGGAACAGTGGAAAAAACCCTGGTCATACCCAGTTCACTCTCCCTTTCAGCATTCACTCTCTGCCACTGTGTGACACAGGATATTTATTGGGCAAGATGGGCATATGGTCTTACCCAGTAAATGATAGTTCTTATGAGTTACACATCTGTCATTCAAGTAGCTGTTTATCTAGGCCTCCCTATTTAATAAAAATAAAAATGAACCACAGATAATTGGATTCCAGTCAGTAATTTCAAACCCATAAAGTTGAAATGACTTCAGAATTCCCCCAGCCCTCGTCAGCACACATTCCTACCTGCAGCATGTTGAGGATGCATTCTTCACTTTGGTCCACCTGTCTCTTGTCCTGTGACTGGTTGATTCTTACTCCTTGTTCTGTTTAGGGGCAGCTTGAGAGCATGTAATACCAAACTAAACAAACAAACAAACAAACAAAAAAGCCAGAAAAAGTTACCCTCCCTAGCTGTGCTTTCTCCTAGAATCAGCAGCAGCAGAATCAGCATCAGCAACAAACAGCACCTCAGCAGCAACAGCAAGCAGCACCTCAGCAGCAGCAACAGCAACAAAACAGTACCCAGACAAATGGGACGGCAGGAGGAGGTGGAGCAGGAGGAGGGGGCACTGGGGCAGGACTCCAGCATAGCCAGGACTCCGGCCTCAATCAGGTGCCTCCAAACAAGAAACCACGCATAGGGCCTTCAGGCACTAACTCAGGCGGGCCTGTTATGCCTTCAGATTATCAGGTACAGACTTTGGTTCTTCTCATTTGTGTTATTCTAAGGAGCAAGGTATAGTTGTGCTCTTAAGAAGAGAGAGAGAGAGAGAGAGAGAGAGAGAGAGAGAGAGAGAGTGTGTGTGTGTGTGTGTGTTTCAGAGAACAAGTACACTTTAAGCTGAAGCTCATTGTCACCTGATGCACATGCTTCAGTTTAGAAAGGATTTTGCTGTGTCAGAGTTAACTGGAAGTGAATTGCATGCTGTTGCAGATATAGATTTCATCAGCTGTTCTCAGTCAATGAGCTGTATCCTGTACTGTGCTGAGCGTTCTGGCTTCCATCCAGCAAAGAATTTAAATATGTACTTAACATAAGCCTGTGAGTAACTCTGTGAAAACTAGTGGAACCACTGTCACGTACTTAAATGCTTTCCACAGGATCAAGTCCGAAGCATTCAGCAACTTTGTAAAATTGAAGCCTATGTGAAAAGCAGCCCTGGTAAAAAGAAGCTAAATGAGCAGCCGGATCTTTAATTCCTGACACCTTCTATTCTGCTTCATCAAGTTGATAGGACAATTCAGATTCTATTATTTGTCCTAATCCTCACTAACTGTTCTTTAATCTTAAAGTACAGTTCCTTTGTTAGTATAGCCTATGAGCATTAGTGGATCAGCATGCTTTATTCTAAAGCAGGGCACTATAATAATGCTACTGTTTCATCTCAGCTATAAGAGAAAATTCAAATATAAATCTTCAAATGTAGTATTTTATTTTTTAGTAGCAACAAATCGGTCTGTTTTGTTCCTGTCTCAGTACAGTAACATTAGAATTTATTACATGAGAATGAAATTTCCAAATTCACTTTGAATTAGCACACTTGTCTATGTTTACTGAAATTAGAGTATTTTTCCACTAAAAAAGTGACATAGATTGAGACACATAAAGAATTATATTAAACAAGCTCCCAATTATGTGGGAAGACCACAGTCATATCTGATGAGATTCATTGAGTATTACTAAAAAAAATATTTTTAATTTTAAAAAGTGAAGCCTACATTAAAGGCCTACATATATTTTTTCAATAAATTATTGAAAAAAGAAGAGAATGGATATCTCTCGTAGTTATGGTTTTTGTAGATTCTGTCGTTTGGATCCTCTTAGAGAAGGACTCAGCTCAGCATGTATTCAGTCTTTCTTGTAAATGCATAGCTGCTTTGACTTCATAATCCTCCCCTCACCGCTAGATTTCTGGATGCTAGACATTTTCTCCCATTTTTTTAGTTTTCTTTCTTCATTGCAAACTGTTGTGAAGTTGTAATGGCCAATTTAGGAGTAAAGACAGTTCAGCTTTCTTTTATAAGTTTCAGCCTGGCTTTTGGTCTGGACAAGTGTCTATAACTGTTCAGGTGCAGATTGTTTATTACTGCCATGTTTCTGTCTATATTAAAGGATTTTTTTTGCTAATTCTTGGATCCTTTGGAATTTTTCAGAGTTCTGGGCAGCCCTCCCCCTCAGTCGTTTCCTGGTTTAAATCTTATCTTGTTAGGGCAGTTACAGTGAGATGATTCTTCTCAGCCTGCAGCCATTTGTTTCAGTGTCTCCTCCCTTCAAGGCTTTCTTGCAGTGTGTGTTCTGTATATCCCCATTAAATCATTTGTTAATTCATACAATCTGATTATCTATTTTTACTTTGGTATTTGTATGCTCCTTAGTTTTAGCTGGCTATTTGTCTTGTATCCATAATGGAATGTCTGCAATTTGTCCAAGTCTGGGCTCTGTTAAAATAAATTTTCTTCTGTGAGACTAAAATCAGCATAGGCTAGTTAATGCCTTCCTATAGTCTTATAGCATTGATCTGACTCCTTATAGCTTCTACAAAATCCAGGGAGGCAGAATCCTTTGATTTAGCTTTTTTTAAAAATCTTTTGATGAACAATATTTTATATTATTTAATCAAAGCCAGTCTGCTTTACTACTGCTTTAGGTTCCTTGTTTGTCTGCATTCTACATTGCTTGCATGGTCTTGCTTTTTGTTTAACATTCTGACCTTTTCCTTTTCCAGCAATTTCATCCAAATTCTGCATTTATGTTTTTAACAGAGCATAGATTAAACTTTATCACTGATGGTGCCGAAACATTTATTTGTTTTTCTCTTTTGAATGCCTGGACATTAAATGTTAAGGCAACAAAACCTGAGCTTTTAAAAACAAAAACCAAGACCAGGGACACATCAGCACTTACTTGGTTTGAAAGCCAGATTTATTTTTTCTTTGCACAAGGCTTTGAAATATTTGACATGAAAAAGGATATGCATTTTACGTTCTCTGTTGAATGATACCTATGAGTAGACCAGTATGTTATTGATAAGGAAATGGGAAGACATAGGTAGATTGACTTTTCTTCTAGGAATCTGTAAAATACTGTAAAGACAATAGAAAATTATAATATTCTTAAAGCTGCTGATGTTTCTTCATCTAGCCCAGATCCATGAGATTAATTCATTTTCGTAAGATTAATGAATAACAACACCTTTTTGGTTTTGCAAAAGTGGGGGTTTGGTAACTCAAGCACTTTCAAGAGAAACCACAGGAAAATCAGTTTCTTTGTTTCTGCCAAACTGGGAGCCCAGAGACCCGATTTTTAAAATTACAGTATATTATTATTTGAATTTATCAACAAATCTCTTCTATCAAACCAAATACATAGTCTTTCCAGTACTTTTACAGCACCCCATCTTGGGGAACAGGGTAAGGGTTGGAGCAAGTAGTTATTTATATCTATTTAGTTAATTTTGGCATATAAGTAAAAACTGATAAATATTAAATGCAGTTATTGTAGTTGGATATGACCACTGTAACAATTGACATTAGGAAGCAAGAATGTACCATAATCTACTTTTTAAAAGTGAATATTTTCCCTTGGAAAGCTGCCCTTTTTTGATTGAAAGTATGTCTCTCTATGCATCTGTCAGGCAGCTTGCATATTTTGGATAATGTATTAATAATAATGATTATTTTTCATACTGCACTTCTATGTTAAGGTTGTCCAGTCACTTTTACCTGCCACTTGGATTTGAGTGATCTTCCTGGCTGTGAAAAATTCCTTCAGCTGTTTTCAGTTTTTTCACTCTGCTTTATTTTTCTTCAGCACTCCAGCTCACGCCTGAGTTACCAAAGCAACATTCAGGGATCTTCTCAGTCCCAGAGTACGATGGGCTATTCCACATCATCTCAGCAGAGCTCTCAGTATCACCAGTCTCATCAATCTCACAGGTACTGAGAGGCCTAATAGACTGTGATTGGAAAGGAATGGACTAAAAGCCAGAAGACTCCAGCAATATGAAGTTCATAATAATGAGAAGAACCAAAAATGCAAACTGTGATGCAGATTTAAAATTCACAACGACAAGAGGAAAACTTTAGTTACTGAAGATTTTTTTTTCAGACAACTCTGTCCTTTCATCATTGCCATAAAGGAGATTCTTGTGAAGTGCCCCCCAGCCTCCCCTCGCATGTGTCCCATTGTGGTTACTCTGATGAAACCTTCTGATCTGAACCCAGCACTTAACTTCTTTAACCTTTGGAATTTTTGAAGGATTCCTGGTGCACCTTTCTCATGCTGTATTGATTGCCATAAGTCTATCTTTGCAAATCTCTTTAATGGGATTTTACAGTTTTAAAATCTTGAACTCCCAGGCTTTCAAGCTTGTATATAGTTAGTTTTTTACTAGGCAAACCAGTTTAGCTATACAAGTATAATGCACCTTTTTAAAGCACTATGTTATTTTCACAGGATATTACTGTTTTGCTCATGGATGTCAAGAAAAGCAAATTTTACTGTTCCAGAGTATTTTACTATTCTGTTTTTATTAATCTAGTTTTCAGGCAAGGTCTTAAAAAAAAAAAAAAAGAAAAAGAAAAAAAAAGAAAAAAAGACAGATAAAAAGTACCCAACCCAAGTCTCTGCAGCAGCTAATATGCTGCATGCTACTGGACCGAACACCAAACAGAAGATCATAAATGTTTTTTAAATCATTCATATTGAATCCCATTGATTACAGCCATCACCTTTTAAGTAGCTTTGAATTAAACGTTATTTAAAATTAGAGCATGATGGTTACAGGAAAAAAGAGATGGCCTTCAGGGCTCTGCTGGAACAAAAGAATGGAACATCTACCCTGGTTGTGCACCCAGAATAGCCAGGAAAATGCATTGACTGGCCTCACATCTTAGTAGAAGAGAGTGTGGGGATGAAGGGCTTGTCTTTCTGTTGAACAGCTCTTTAGTATGTTCTATAAATCCTGCTTTTGATGTTGCAGTCTCTTTTGTTGGTTTCCCTGAATCATTTATCTAACTACAGAAAATATTAAGACTTATAAAGAACAAAGAAGTATCCATCTTTACATAGGATCATTACATTTAAGTAAAAATATTGTACATTTTAAAGAGCATGTTAAAAACTGTTCCAGTTTCTCATGTTTATAATGGATATTCTGTATTCTTCCCATTGCTGCGATTATCCCAGATTAGTTACACCAGATGCACTTGATTGCACTGCAATAGGTTGGGGGGCTTGGGGGGGGGGGTTTCTGCTTCCCCCAAGAGCAAATATATTTTGATTGTGCCTGAGGACCATAAGTGGATGGATAACTGGCAGGCTATGCCAGGTAAATAATCAGCATTCACAAGCATAATCAGAGGACCACAATTCAATTAATGAAGCCTCAGTTTTTCAGAGAAATGTAACATAACTTGAGGCAGCTCCATTTTATATTTCATTGCTTAAAGAAGGCTTATGATTCTCATTGCACTAAAACTGGAAAGACATTTATTTACTTTAAAATGTTACGAGCTGGATAAGCAGCCCCAGGCTTTCTTAATTGATTGCTGAATAAGAGGTAGCAGAAGGAGCAAGCTATGTATAAAAAGGGCATATTATTGGAATTTACACTTTACAGTGTGGTCTTTTCTGTCTGACTCTGTGTTCTAGCCTGAATCCATGTGAGAATTTAGATGTAAAGCAGTAAACATTTCACAATAAATTAGTGGTAGATGTTAGCAGGGTGTTAGATATGTGCGCCCCAAGGAGAACATTCATTCATCCCAGTCATACAAGAATGATAAATATTTCTGTGGATACTGATCTCTCATCCCTACAAAAATGTTTTACTTTCATAAGCAGTTGGAAATGTGGTTTGGCCAGATCATGTGCCACGTGACTTTGATGACATCGGTCTTCTCGGAGAAGTGTCTGGAGGTAAAATTAAATTTAAAATGGGTGAAAGAGTAGTGAAAGTGAAATGGAGCAATTTGAAGAGAAATATTGCCAATTGTTATTAGGACAAAACCACCTCCTACTGAATACTTTTCATCTTTATTCTCTATGATATCATGTGCCATGTGTATCTGAGTAACTTGGTTGGTGGGAACTGATTTTAATCGGTTCTTTACTTGAGTTCAGTGAATCTGCTACGGTTAAAATCTTTTCCAGAATTAATTTCCCCAAGTTTTTATTGAAGTTAGGAGGAGCCCCATGGCTGTACCTGAGGAACAATTCGGCCTCTGCCAACAACATTGTTGGATATTCTTGTGATTGGCTTCCACATTTCTGGCTAGCATCCCTTGACACAAGCTGCTTTGTCGTCTCCTCTTCTCACCCCTCTATCCAGTCAAAGCACTATTGTCTCCTTGAGCATAATTGTCTAATGTTTATACTCTTTGCCACCTCTTCAAAGTACTGGTAATGGCAGGAGGTGGAAGGGGACAAGTCTTCTCCTGGCTGAGTTGGATTCCTATGGTGCCAACAAAGTTAAATTTTAGTGTAGGTTCACATATGTGTGAAGCATGAAGATTCACAGCATTGTATTATGCTTTAATTCAATGAGCTTCCATCCCCTAGAATAACTGCCATGAGCTGAATAAATATTTCTGTATTTGCTTGATCTAAATCACTTATTGTGCTCCAGTGCCCTGCTGCTTCTGTGCGCATTCATAAAACTGAGCTAACTCCTCCATTGCCTTCCAGGTAAAAGCTGAATGGGGAATAGATAAAGGAAAAGGTCACTGTTGGAAATGTTTACTGTGCACACTTACTCCTTTTCCTCCGCCAGTTGGTTTTTGGATGTTTGGCGTTTTCTGGTGAGTTATATATGACTCAAGATAGATGGGAGCCAGCCGCAAGATGAAGCAGCCTTGTTTCAGGGGTGGTTTCACGAGGGAAAAATGCTCTTTTTGTCGAAAGGTTAATCAGGTAATCTGTTGTGAGCAACCAGCAGCATGCATATTTTTGTGCCTGCTCAGTTATAGCAGTTGATACTTACTGGTATTCCCTTTTTATCCTTACCCTGAACCTCTATGTGCCCCCACAAAACCTGAAACCTAGTAATGGAAAGTGATACCAATAAGCTTTTTTTCCCGTTCCCTTGGTGATGCAGTTGGACCATCCAGTACCATTCTGCGAAGTTTCTGCTCTGGCCTTTTGAGGAAACAAAAAAGTGGGGAATGGGATTAGCGGCATAGTCTACATTGGTGAAGTTTATGTAGCACAAACTGCACAATGAAGGAAGAATATTGTGAAAGCCGTGAGTCCTGCACTGTATCTGTGACACTGTATCTTTTTTGGGGGTGGGTTGGGGGGGAGGGAAGAGCATTCTGAGAGGGGATAGGGGGGAAGCTTGAAGTATTCAAATGTGTATAATATTTTATATAAACATAATCTTAGTTCCCCTTCATAATCTTCAGTAATGGTACTTAAACACCATTAAGCAAAGAATTGTTTTAGGGTTAAATAAATGTATTGTACATAAGGCCATATGTAATCTTCTAAAAATGTCGCCACACAGCAGCGATATGTATTACTATATGAAAAAAGTCCTTAATGCACTGTTATCTCCTAAATATTTAGTAGTAAATTAATACTATTTAATTTTTTTAAAAATCTGTCTTGTGTAGACACTAAAAGTATTACACAAAATGTGGGCAGAAGATGTCCTTTTTAACAGCAATTTAAAGAACTTTTTATATATGTAATGTAGTATACTTTCAAATTGTTCTAGCTGTATTTTCCCATGTTTACTATTTGTGGACATTTGCCTGTCTCACTTCAGTTATTTTTTATTATTATTATTTCCTGCACGCATCCCTCATTTTTGTAGTTTTATTAGAGATTTCCGCAGCAGAGCTTTCCTGTGTTAGCTCTGTGGTGGGCACTTACAGCAGTGCCCCTGCTGATGGACTTGCAGAACCACAGGGCAAAATATTTGTTTCCCATTCCACAGTTAAAGAGTTTACTGCTTTTAAGTTGTCCTGATGTCACTCTTGAAATGACTGTTAAAACAAAGCTATGAGTTCATTGCATTTATTTTATATTCTTGGTTGTAATGAAATTGAATTGACTTTGCTTCAGTGTGAATTTTTTAAATAAAAATAATATACATTTGTAATAATAATAAAATGTTCAAATCAGATAAGTGTGCTGGAAACTTTTGTAAACTTTAAGCTTTTGGCTTTAAGAAGGAAGATCTGTCCCAGAAAAATGCAGTATGTGGTCAGGCTGTTTATATCATAAACCCCCCAAAATAGAGCCTGGAAAACCTAAAAGTTGGAATTATAGCTTTTTAAAAAAATACCCAAGAGGGTATTTATGGTTTTGTATGCATCAAAATAGAATGCAGCTTTATGGAAAAGCAAAGCAGATTTGAAATGGTCTCATTAAGGTTTTGCTCTCTCTTTAAAAGTACTTTACTATGCAGCAGTGATGCTGCTTGTAGAAATGTAAGATTACTAGTCTGATGGCCCTGTATATTTGTCTTCTGAAAAAAGATATAAGTTTTGAGGCTAAATTTCCCCTCATTATATGATTTCTAGGCTGTCTTTGGTTCTAATGACTCAAAAGACTAAAATGACAGCATGGAAACTGAAGAACATAAGTTAAAGAGCTTAGCTCTGCTTTTCAAGTTGACTTTCCATACTCTGTTGAGCTTCACATTTTAATTCCATTAAGTTACTGTTTCAGAGATGGTCATCATTACCCTGGCTTCTTCATGAATTCCACCCATTTTCTCTGTAAAGGTTGTGTATGATAGCATGGCTGACATTTATCATCTTCACCAGCATTAATGAGGTGACTTCAATTTTTACTGATTTTTGAACAAGGTAACATGGTGTACTGGTGGTTTCCGACAAATAGAGATAAGACTGGCTTCTAGTTGCATGATATGTTTAGAGAGTAGGTGTCATGTGATGCAGGCACATTTTCCTTTACTTTGTTTCTTTCTTTTACTTTGTTTATATTTATGTTGAGCGTATAGTACTTTTCACCTGAAGAGTCTGAAAGTACCATACAGAGCAAGTCATTATGTACAGAATGGGAATCTGCATCCTGGGAAGCAGTGACTCTGGGGATCGTAGTGGATAATCTGATCAATGCAAGTTCCCAGTGAAATATTGTGGCTAATAGGGCAAACGTAATGTTTGGATGTGTAAATGGGATGAACACTGAGTAGGGCAGTCTCATTGTGTCTGTATTTTGTATTGCTGAAACCACTACTGAAATACTGTCTATTTCTGATGTTTATGAATCAAGGAGATAGTTGATAAATTGGAAGAGGGTTCAGAAAAGACCCATGAGAATGATTAAAGGGTTGAAAACCCATGCCTTTTTGTGAGAGATTGCAGTGGATAATAATCTATTTCAGTTATCATAGACAACAGTAAGGTGATTACAGTTTGTGAAGGACTGGCATGGGGGATCAGAAATTTGATAATTATGTCTTTATCTGCTTTGGTCTAGTAACTGAAGGGTGGCACTCGACAAATTCAGACTAGAAACCTCATTTTTTTAGCAATGGGAGTAATTAACAATTAGAAAAACTTACCAAAGGTTGTAGTGGATTCTTCCTCACTGGCAATATTTGAAGCAGGATAGGAAGTTTTCTGAAAACTATGCTATAGTTTAAACAAGAAATAATTCAGGGAAGTTGTATTGCCTGTGTTGTTATAAGAGAAGTCAGAAGAGAGGCTTACAGTTGTCCCTTCATAGATTTCATTGGGAAATGAACCCAAGGGACCTTGGAAGATCATCAAGCCCCCTGCCCCAGGGGCAGGAAGTCAGCAGGGATCATAGGATCACAGCAAGATAAACATCCAAGTGTCTCTTGAAGGCATTTAGAGTAGGTGCTTAACGCACCTCCAGCTTCAGTCTATTCCAAACCTTGGGGGCTGGGACGGTAAAGAAGTTCTTCCTTATGTCCAGCTTGAAATGGTCATGGAGGAGTTTCTGACCGTTCGACCTTGTCATCCCTTGGCGCACTCTCGTGAACAGACGTTCCCCCAGATCCTGGGGAGCACCCCTGATAAACTTATAGGTGGCCACCAGACCACCCCTGATCCAGCACTTTTCCAGGCTTGGAGAGTCCAATGGCCCTCAGCCTTTCATCATAAGATCTGTTTTCCTGACCTTTGACCATGTGTGTGGCTCTCCTCTGTACTCTCAAGCTTCTTCACATCCTTTTTGAATTGTGGAGCCCAAAACTGGACACAGTACTACAGCTGCAGCCTCACCAAGGCCAAGTACAACGGGAGAACGATGTCCTGGGATTTGCTTGAGAAGCATCAATGGATGCAAGCCGGCATTTTGCTTGCTTTACTAGCCACAGCATCACACTGAAGGCTCATGTTCATCTTGTGGTCAGTCATGACCCCCAAGTCCCTTTTGCCCATAGTGCTAGCCAGCGTAGCACTGCCAAGCCTATAAGCATGCTACAGGTTTTTCTTCCCAAGGTGGAGAACCTTGCATTTTTTGGTATTAAATACCATTGGGTTCTCATCTGCCCATTTCCTGAGCCTGTCAGTCAGCCTGGATGGCCCTCCTGTCTTCAGATGTGGACACTCTACCCCAGAGTTTGGTGTCATTGGCAAACTTGGCCAGTCCGCTTCTGACTCCAATGTCCACATCATTAATGAAAATGTTCAATAGTATAGGCCAAAGGACAGAGCCTTGGGGGACCCTACTGGTCACCAGGTACTGCGACGATTGACTTTTGTCAACCACACCCTCTGGGTCCTACCATGGAGCCAATTCCCCAGCCAGAGGATGGTGGTGATGCCGAGGCTGCAGTTAGCCGGTTTTGTTAAGAGGTGATCATAGGGTACCAGATCAAAGTCTTTTTTGAAGTCGAGATATATGACATCAATATCCTCTCCCTGGTCCAGGTGATAGGTCACCTGGTCATAAAAGAAAATAAGATTGTTCAGGGAAGGCCTACCCACGACAAACTTGTGCTGGCTATCCCTCAGGATGTTGCCATTGGCTAGTCTGTTAAGAATGTCCTCTTTGATAATCTTTTCTAAGACCTTGCCCAGTATAGACATCAAGCTGATGGGCCTGTAGTTTACCAGATCCACTTTCCTCCCTTTCTTGAAGATAGGCACCACATTAGCCTTTTTCCAATCTTTGGGCACTTCACCAGAGCACAAGGAGTTCTCGAAGATCCGTGCTAGGGGCTGGGCTATGATGCTAGCCAGCTCCTTGAGTTGCCCACGGTGTAAACTCCTTGCCTCATCTGTGAAAATCCATGGTTACGTTTACAAACTGTAGGAAATGATTCACTCTGGTCTACAGATCTGCTGTATTTGCGGTGATGGGTATTCCTAAGGCCTGCTGTAGAACTGTTCAGCCTTCAAGAGCTGACACAAGGGCACATAAAGGACAACACCTAGATTACACTGTCTCTGTTTGTTCCTCTTTCGTTTGTACGTGGTTGAGTACAATATAAGCAAGAGTATTCTGAAATCCCTCGTGTTTGAATATATAGCCCTATCTCAGAGATTATTCATTATACCCAGCTAGCGTGCTTAATATTGGATTCCAGCCTTTGGGTTCTGGCATTCTATATAAAAAAAAATAAAACAACAAAAACCTCAATTTGAGGCTAATGGTCCAAAGAAAAATAAACCCTACAACATACAGTGCTTTAAGGAGAAATGCCGAGTATTTAAAACTAAGGCAAGCTTGTGTTGGTATTTAGAGCTAAATTGTAGGCAAGGCAAAAGTTGCATTGAGGCAGGATTGTAGACCATACTTAGCAGAAATTTATCCAATTTGCTAAATACCTCCAGTATCCAAAGAAGGATATTCTGTAGTATCCATGTGCAGCCTGTTTGAGTGTTTGAAT